TTTATTTATTTATTTATTTATTTTTTGAGACAGGGTCTCATTCTATAACCCATGCTGGCCTCTAACTCCTCGTATAGTCCAGACTTATCTTGAACCACATGACTATCCTCTTCCCTCAGCTTTTCAAGTGCTGGGATTATAGGAAACTAGGTCCAACTGTGTACTTTTAATTTATTCTTTGCATTCTCTCTCTCTTTATCTTAACCTTTTTTGTTTTTCCTTTCCTTTTTCAGGTTGCAGTTGTTTTGATGGATACCCAGGGGGCATTTGACAGCCAATCAACTGTGAAAGATTGTGCTACCATCTTTGCTCTAAGCACCATGACTAGTTCTGTTCAGGTAAGATCCCCCCTCTGTTCCCTTCCTTTTTCCCATCTTCCCCCTTTCCTTTCTTCCCTCCCTTCTTCTGGGGATTGAACCTAGGATCTTGACAGTGCCTGGTAACTTTTCTACACTTGAGTTCTCTAGTCTGTCAGTCATTTTCTATTAGCAGAATTCTTGTGGTTGTATACGAGTGTTCTTTTTAAGTGTTCTAGTTTAATCTGTGATAAACCACTGATTAAAACCAACTTGGGGAAGAAAAGGTTTATTTGGCTTACACTTTTAGGTCATGGTCTATTATTGAGGGAAGTCAGGGCAGGAACTCAAGGCAGGAATCTGGAGATCTGGAGACAGGAACCATAGAGGAATGCTGCTTACTGGCTTTTTCCTGCTCATGCTTAGCTATATAATATAAAATAAAATTTCAGGCCCACCTGCCAAGGGTTGGTGCCACCTACTGTAGGCTGGACCCTCCCACATCAGTAACAAATCAAGAAAATCTCTTCCTGGCTCAGCAGTTAAGAGCACTGGCTACACCTCTAGAGCACCCAGGCTCAATTCCCACCACCTGCTAGGCAGCTCACAATTATCTGTAACTCCAGTTCCAGGGCATGCATGTGGTGCATATACCTGTGCATTCAGGCAAAATATCAAACAAACAAAAAAAGATAATCTCAAAAAGAAAGAAAGAAAATCTCTTCTAATCATGTCCATAGGACAGTCTGAGTGAGGAGATTATTCAGTTGAGGTTTCTGATTTCCCAGGTGACTTTAGGATTGTTTCAGGTTGTTAAAAAAATGTAACCAGCACAAGCTACATGCATATTTAAACTGTTAAGCTCAAAATGAGTTTTTCTACTTACATAATTATATACAAAATATTCCAAGAAAAATCTCAAACCTCTTAAACTGTTTTAAATAAAGAAGGAATTTTTGGGTTTTAGCCCTATATTCTTATTTTTCTCAAAAGACTGATAATACTCTCTCTCTCTCTCTCTCTCTCTCTCTCTCTCTCTCTCTCCCATATGCTTAAATGCAAATCTTCAGTTGTACAAAGCTCCATTCAGTGTTCTAAGCTTATTTGGGACTTATTTGAAGTAAGCCAGACTGCTATCAATCTGGATTTTGTTTTCTAGATTTACAATTTGTCCCAGAACATTCAGGAAGATGATCTTCAACAGCTACAGGTAATAAAAAAGGGTAATGGGAATAGTGTCTGAAAGATTAAAATATCAAGTGTTTTATATCCTATGTGGAATCTAGACATGAAAGCAGAAGGGGGAGCTGTCTGAGGATAGGAAGGAGTCCAGAGAGGAGGAGGGCTGTGAGAAAAGGGCGGTGGGTGGGTAGATGATGCTGCAAAGAGAGGCTCAGTCATTGAAGTTCCTGCTGTGCAAGCATGAGGACCTGAGTTAGAATCCCCAGCACTCACATGAAATAAATAAGCAGGAGTGGTGGCACATGCCTTTTATCACAGCATTCAAGAGTAGACGCAGGTGGATCTCTAATCTTGAGGTCAGGCTGGTTTTACACATCGAGTTCAAGGATGGTAGTCTGGTAGGGAGCTAACCCTAGTGTTTGAGAGGTAGAGATAGGACAATATCTAGAGCTCACTGGCCAGGCAACTGGTTAGCTCCAGGTTCAGTGAGAGACCCTGTCTCATAAACTAAGGTTAAAAGGTATAGAAGAAACCTGACATTATCTTCTGAGCTCACATACACATGCCACAACATGTGTACGCACCTCACATGCACAGGTATATATATGTGAGCAGGTACATACGCATATACCACATACACATCACACACACTCAGCATAAACACACATAAAAAAACGAAAGTATGTATTCCTCATAATTTTCTTTTTTTTTTTTTATTTGTTTTTTGAGACAGGGTTTCTCTATGTATTTCTGGCTGGTCTGGAACTCACTGAGATCCACCTGCCTAAGCCTCCAAAGTGCTGGGATTAAAGCCATGAGCCACTACAGCTGGCCTCAAACATTTTCAATATCACAGTACATCATTTTAAAGAATAAGATGGTCGGTGGTGGCGCACGCCTTTAATCCCAGCTCTCAGGAGGCAGAGGCAGGTGAATCTTTGAGTTTGAGGCCAGCCTAGTCTACAGAGTGAGTTCCAGGACAGCTAGGGCTACACAGAGAAACCTCTCAAAAGACCAAACAAACAAAGGATCTGGTGAGATGACTCAGTAGAAGGGTTAGAGGACAACTTTAAGGAGTTGATCTTCTATTACCACTATGTGGGTTCCTTCTACTGAGTCATCTCACCAGACATGTGCACTGGTGTGTGTGTGTGTGTGTGTGTGTGTATGAAAACCTTGGAAGAAACTGAATGAAACATTTAAAACAAATTTTAGAGCTACAAGAGCAAAGGTTTTGGTTGTAGTAATCCTCCACTCTGTGCACCTGTTTCTCTTTCTCTGTCTTCCTTCCCTTGAGACAGACTGGTCTTGAACTTCTGATTTTCCTGCCTCTACCTCCCAAGTGCTGTGGTTACAGGTATGCTCTACCACAACAGGCTATATCTATTGCTGCGGTGTAGTTAGAGGTGCTTGTGAACCATCTGACTTGACTGCAGGGAACTGAACTTTGAGAGCACTGTAAGAACAGTCGAGCCACATCTTGATGCCTTTTTGATTCCTCTTTCACAGTTTTTCAAAAGTCTTATCTAATGAAAAGGGCCAAATGTTACAGATATATCAATGGTTGTGGTAGACACAATTCTTTTTTTTTCACCCTCAGGGTCTCTATGTAATTCTGGCTGACCTCAAGAACTCAAATCCTCCTGCCTCTGCTGGGATTAAAGGCATACACCACCATACTCAGTGAGATAGACAATTCTTACATTCACAGGTTGTATCCATGGCTGTCCTGGAACTCATTCTGTAGATCAGGCTAGCCTCTAACTCAGAGAGATCCACCTGCCTCTGCCTTCCAAATTCTGGGATTAAAGGTGTTACCCACTGCCTGGCTACCTTCACAGGTTTTATAGTCCAGTCTGAGAGAGACATGAATGAAACAGGCATAGTGGTCAAAGACTGATGTCACAAATACTCTGCAAACTGGATGGTCTATTTTTTGTAGAATTGCCGAAAATAAAGTGTGGGGTATGGACCCGTGAGATGGTTCACTAGGTAGACAAGCTTGCGTACAGGCCTGATGACCCAAGTTTAATCCCTGGATCCCACAGGGTGGCAGTGTAGAACCTATGCTACAAAGTTGTCTTTTGACCCCAGTGAAAGGACACAACATGAATGTTTAAATGAGAGAAGCTGGAGAGGTAACTAAGAGATAAAGCAACTGCTATGTGTATAACCTTAGGTTCAGTGTCCCAACACTCCATTACAAAGTTTGGTATTAAAGGCTAGATTTTAAAAAAGTATGTATGTGTGTACATGCATGTGTATTTGCATGCTGTTATGCATGTGGAGCTTAATTTCGGAGTCAATATTCACTTTCCACTTTGTTGAGGCAGAGCCTGTCTTGTTGTTTTTGCTGCTGTGTGTCTTAGGCTAGCTGGCCTCCTAGCTACTGAATCTGGCTTTTTGTGTGGTTCTCAAGCTTGCACACCTAAAGCTTTTACCCACGAATAATTTTTTCTCAGCCCCAAGGCTAGATTTTTGTTGTTGTTTAGACCACATGTATTACTCTTGTATTTCTCTGGTACAGGGTAGGGACTAGGGGCAGAGTTCCAAACTTTTTTTTTTTTTAAAGGTTTGTTTATTATGTATACACTTTTCAGTCTGCATGTCAGAAGAGGGCACCAGATCTCATTACAGATGGTTGTGAGCCACCATGTGGTTGCTGGGGATTGAATCCAGGACCTCTGGAAGAGCAGTCAGTGTTCTTAATCTTTGAGCCATCTCTCCAGCTCCAATCTTTTTTTCAGTTGTCAGTCCCATTCCCTTTCTGTTCCTGCAAGAAGCTCAGCTTTTTCATTTCTCAGTAGTTAAGGATTCTGCTGAGAGAAAATGTTTCACTTCTTGGGTCTTTTTTGCTACCTTCCATTTGTTTTTTGCTTTTTTAAAAAAAATTTAAATTAGAAAGAAGCTTCTTTTACATGTCAATCCCAGTTCCCTCTCCTTCCATTTGTTAACAGGGCATAAAATGCCAGAACTGGATAGTTACTCTGTTTCTTTTTGTCCATAGTGTTTGTGACAAGTTCTTTGTACTGTCATATTATTTCATGTGCTCTTTGTCCTGCAAATTTTATATTTAAGCTTCATTTTATTATACTTAACTGTGGCTTCATGAAGAAGCAGGTAAATGTATGCAGTAATCCTAATATGAGTGGATTCATTCAGTCATTTGAATGGTATAGATATTTATTATACCACTAGGACTTTTGTTGTTGGAGATAACAGTGCACAAAGTGGGAATGTCCCTGTGTACTGGTCTGAGTGCTTATGGTAACTAAAGGCCAGGCAAATGAATATTAAAATTTTTTTTTACTTATTTTATGTGTATGAGTGTTTTGCCTGCATGTATGAATGTGCCCAGTGCCCATGAAGGCCAGAAGAGTGTTGTATCCCCTGGAACTGGAGTTACAGATGGTTGTGAGCTTCCATGTGGGTACTAGGAATCACCCAGGTCCTCTGGGAGAATAAGTGCTCTTTAACCACACAACTATCTTACCACTCTCAAATAATTTTGGAAAATAACATGAAACTATTCTAAAGTAGTTTCCAGCCACTGACTCTTCTTCTTCTTCTTCTTCTTCTTCTTCTTCTTTTTTTTTTTTTAATTAGTTCAAGTTAGGGAACAAGCTTGTTTCACATGTAAGTCCTTCTCCCTCTCCCTCCCCTCACCTGACTCTTCTTTTTTAAAGCTCTTCACAGAATATGGACGTCTGGCAATGGATGAAATTTTCCAAAAACCCTTCCAGGTAAAACACTATGAATGTTATTTATGTCTTTGTTTAGTTCACAGTTCAGCAGATCTGCTTGTTTTTAATATGATCTGTGAGCTACAGGGTTTGTTTGTTTGTTTTTTTGAGCCTGACTTGTTATATAGGTCAAGCTGGTCTCCTTCAGCATACCCTTGCCCCCTTTGAAAAGATTAGCAGAAAGTATTACGGTAATAACTATAATTAATCTTGGATATGCACTTGTACAGTGTTATAATTCTATTCTGCTTTGTCACAATAGACACTGATGTTTTTGATTCGAGACTGGAGTTTCCCTTATGAATACGGGTATGGACTGCAAGGAGGAATGGCATTTTTGGAGAAGCGCTTACAGGTGATTATTCTGAATAATTATCTAAAAGCAGTAACTTCCTCATTTGCTTTTGACTATTGCATTTAAAGCATATTATTGAAAATGATACTCTGTAAAATGTTTATAAATATTAGCATGAACCAGTATACTTTTTTTGTTTAAAAATTTTAAAATTACATGTATATATTTGTATGATGTATGTATGATAGAGAGAGAAGAAAGCAGTACAGTACTCATGAGAAGATCAGGACAATTTGTGGGAGTTCTCTTTTTACCATGTGGGTCTCAGGGATCAAACTTAGGTCAGCAGACTTGGTGGCAAGTATCTTTCTGGACCCAGTATTTTTTTCATGGTAAAATTGAAGAGCCTGGGTATATAATATGTAAGCACTGTAGAGGGACTCTGAGCAAAAGGCCATTATAATTACAATTTCCAGTTATTTTGAATCAGGTTCTATTTGTGCCTTTAGAATGTCATGTTGAGAATTGTAGTTCTTATTCATTATTATTTGTTTTGGCATATATATAAACAAGCCTAGCTTGTTCCCTAAAACCAAAGCACAAGGAGATCTTTGTCAGTCACTGCTAGCTTATTGGATCCTCCTCCTGGCCAACAAGACTTCTGTTCTTAAATGTTGTGTAACACCCTTTAAAACCAAGTCTTTAGTACCTGCTCTTGGTAGCTATGAGAGCCAAGCGCACATTCATGCACTTACTGCTTCTCGGGGTTCTGGCTTTTCCCATTGGTCACTCTGATCTGTCAGTCAAGAAGTCTTCTTTCCTTTGTCCTTATGCTAGTGGCTGCTTAGTGAAGGATACCAAATTGTTTTTAGCTGGTAAACTGTTGGTTTTCCTTGGCAGGTGAAGGAACATCAACACGAAGAAATTCAGAACGTTCGAAATCATATTCACTCATGCTTCTCAGATGTTACCTGTTTTCTCTTGCCACATCCAGGGCTCCAGGTGGCCACAAGCCCTGACTTTGATGGGAAATTGAAAGGTGCGTTATAGACAACTGTTACTATATATACGATTTGATCTTAGGAATTCCATAATGAGCAGTAAGTGTCAACTATGAGTCAAATGGATGCTTATGAGAAAAAATAGTATTATTAGTATAGTTCAGATTTTGCTCCTGACTTACTCTGTGACTATTATAAGTATTTTGCGTATTTCACCTACTGAAAATGAGATACTTTTCTTCAGGGATCTTTCAAAGAGACATATTAGAATTCCCACTTAGATCAAAGTGCTAAATAAAGGAAGATTGAAAGCTAAGACAACCAATATTTTTCAAGTAAAATTATCTTCCCCAGAAAAAGTACCATGATACATGGCCAAGTTACTGTTTAAACTTATTTGTGCTTGTAGCAAATGTGATGCTGGGTCATGGGTTAAGGTCAGGAAGTGCTGAGTAGTTGGTTAGAGAATCAGAGTTGGGATGCTTGGTTACCATTATCTTATTTTGTTCCTTATTCCTGGAGACTTTGAGTCACCTAATGGCTAGCCCACAGTTTATACTTGTTAAACAGTTTGTTTATAGGTTGATCAGAGTCTCTTAATTTTCCTTAAAAAACTGCTAATAGTAGCTGCCAGCTTTGCAGTCCAATTGGGTTCCCAGTGTTGTGCAAAGTGCTTTCAAACTAAGTTCACAGTAATTCCATGAAGTTACATCATTTACAACATGAAGAAGCAGGCAAAAACCAGGAAAGTTAAGCAACTCACTCTGTTTTCAACCAAAAGCAATGGGGCAGAGGTTCACCTCCGGGTTCTGGTACCTTAAAGCCCACATCTGGAAATAGAAGTTCATTGTTGTTTGGAGGAAGTCTTTAGAGAATATGTACTTGTTGAGTTACCAGGGCAACTTGCCTTTTAAAAATAGTCTTAATAAATATGAAATAGTTTTCATTTTTTTTATTTAGCTAATTTAAGAAGAATAATATATTTTTATAAACCAAGGTGTACAAACATGAGGCTAAAGAGATAACTCAGTAGTTTAAAGAGTGTTCTTGGGTTCTGTTCCTAGCACCCTCATCAAATAGTTCACAGCTCTCTATAGCTGCAGTTTCAGGGGATCTGCTGCTTCCTTCTGGCCTCCCTGGCTACTGGCATGAACATAGTACACGTATTGCAGCCACACACATACACATAAACTAAAAATGGATGCTTAACATCTTTTAAAAGATTCTGTATGTAGGAGTGTTTTGTCTGCTTTTATGTTTGTGCACCATGTGTGTAACTGGTGCCTGCAGAGCTCAGAAAAGTGTGCTGGATTCCCTGGAACTGGAGTTACTGACTGTTGAGTTTGTGTGGATGCTGAGAACTGAACCTGGGTCCTCTGCAAGGGCAACAAGTGTGCCTAACTGCTGAGCCATCTCTCCATCTTTTTTCCTCAGAGATTTATTTATTCATTTATTTTTTTGTTTAATGTGTATGGGTGTTTTGCCAACATATATATGTCTGTGCACTATGTATGTACATTGCCTGTAGAGGCCAGAAGAGGGTGTCCGATTCTTCAGAACTGGAGTTCTACATGGTTTGAGCTATCACATGGATGCTGGGAATCAAACTGGAATCCTGGAAGAACAGGGTTCTTCTGCTGAGCCATTTGCTCTTATCCCTCCCCTCACCCCATTAATAAATCTCTTAAAAAGATTTACAGCCCAGCTGGTCAAAATGCTGTGAAACAATGCTGTGAATTTGAGAGGCGTAACCCTTGCTTTTTGTTTGATACTTGCATGATACGATGTTAAGTAGTTGGTAGCTTTTCTGAAGGGGATACTCTGAGAGCTTGTCACTCAGTGATTGAGAAATTCAAGAACAAGGCCTGGGTTTTGTAGAGATACCTTCTTAGGCAAACAGTGGAGCTATAACCTGTTACCTAAAGAGGTGGAGAGAGTTTTTCAGAGTTAAGTAGGGAGAGAAAGTTAAGTGCACTTGTGTGTGTGTGTGTGTGTGTGTGTGTGTGTGTGTGTGTAGGGGCAGGATCTTATGTAGCCCAGGCTGGCCTCAAGCTTAATTGGTAGCCAAGGGTAACTTTGAACTTATCTTTGTGCCTCTACCTCCTGACTGCTGGGGTTAAGATATACACCACTGTGAGCAGCTGGTAATTTCTTTCAGGGTTATGGCACTTCATGATTAACTGTATTTTTACAAAATCTAAAATGTTAGATTTTTGTTTTGAATTGAGGTCTTTCTGTTTAGCCCTGACTTACCTGGGAGTTGGTATGTAGACCAGGCTGGCTTGAATTTAGAGGAGTTCTCCTGTTTCCATTTCCTAAGTGCTGGGATTACAGACACGTTCTACCACACCTACTTTAGAGGATGGATCAGAGTGACCTTTCATGCCCATGTCTCATGAGGAGCCCAGGTTACCAGATGTAAACATAGAAAAATGTCATGCTTTCCTATCTTAAGGCATTTTAATATTTCAAAGCCTTCTGTTTTGAAACTCAGTTTCATTTTAACATTTTTATTTAGAAAGTAGGCTATTTTTAAAAGTTGTGTGACTGTGACTTGAAGGTATATTGTTAACTGGGATACACAGTTACATTCTTGTGGTTGTCTTTAACAAGTTACTACAAGCTGGGCAGCTAAGACAAAGATTTATCCTTTTATAGTTCAGGAAGCTAGAAGTGTAAAGTAGTGGCTGGTTCCCTCAGGGGCCCTGAGGAGAGCCTTCCCATGCCCCTCTCCTGGCCCCTGGGAGGGTATGGCAATCCTTGGCACTCTTTGGCTGTGGTTATGCCACTTTAATTTCTTTGTTGTCATGTAGCTGTCTTCTTTGTATGTTCTTCTTCCTATCAGCCCATCAGATCCATTTTTAAGTCATTTTAGTTAATCACATTGTCCAGCAACCTTCCAAGTAAGGTCACATGCTGAGGTCACAGACGGGTTTATGTTTGGGGAGGCAGCACTGTTTACTTCATTTTTTACACATATAGTTTGCAGATGGTTTAGTCACTAAACAGGGAGTATGTTGTTTCATGCGGTTTGTGTTTATGAGATAGGGAGCAAATTCAGTGTACGCAATCTCCAGTCTCACGACTAGGAACCATTTGGTTCCTCCATTCAAGATGGAACTATATATATTTTAGTTAATTTTTTTTTGTTTTGTTTTTTTGAGACAAGGCTTCTCTGTGTAGCTTTGGAGCCTATCCTGGCACTCGCTCTGGAGACCAGGCTGGCCTCAAACTCACAGAGATCCACCTGCCTTTGCCTTCCGAGTACTGGGATTAAAGGCGTGTGCCACCAATGCCCAGCTAGTTAATTATTTTTTGAGACAAAGTCTCAACTATATATAGTCTTAGCTGACCTCTGGAATTTACTATGTAGACCAGGCTGGCCATGAACTCACAGAGATATGCCTGTCTCTGTTTCTGGAATGCTGGGATTAAAGGTCTGTATGACCATGACTAGCCTCAAGATAGAACTATAAAATAAAATAGGGTTTTCGTCATTTTTTTTTTTTTAAATATGAGAAGGCAAGTTCAAAAAGTGCTAGAGGTATGCAGCTCAGTTATAGAGGCTTCCCTGGCATGTATGAAGCCCTGAGTGTGATCCTCAGCATTGAGCAAAAAGCAACCAAACACAAAACTGAGCCCAAGCCCAAATGCAGACCCTAATCTCTAAACTCCCAAACCCAAATTATTGAAATTGTGTGAGCCATTACAACAATCAGAAAACCAAAAATATGTTAGTTTTTTTTTTTTTCCCCCAAGATGGTTTCTCTGTAACCAGGCTTGAACTCAGAGGTCTGCCTGCCTCTGTCTCCCGAGTGCTGGGATTAAAGGTGTGCACCACTGCTGCCTGACTGTATTAGTTTTTGTGCAGTTATTTGGTAGTATCAAAATTTTAAGTTTTTTTAAAATTTTTTTTATCTAGTGTTCTACTTTTAAGAGTTTATCTTAAGGAATTGTCCAAATAAATGGATAATTATTTGTGTTTAAGGATGCATATTTGGTAGCACTATTATAATAAGGATAACTTCAAATCAAATGTGTACTTATGAGGAATTGGTTTATTTATGGTATATTAAACAGAGTATTAAAGTTCACTCATTATCCAGGTGTGTGTGTCGTTGTGCACACCTGTATTCCCAGCACTAGGAAGGCAGAGGTAGGAATATACAACTTTAGGCCAGCCTGGGCTACATAGGGAGAGACCTTGCCTCAAAATAAAGCAATTATTAAAAATAATTAGGTAGATATTTGGATCTCTGTATATGTACATAGAGAGGGAGACCTTGCCTCAATATAAAGCAATTATTAAAGATAATTAGGCCAGGCATTGGTGTGCATACCTTTAATCCCAGCATTTGGGAGGCAGAGGCAGGCGGATTTCTGAGTTTGAGGCCAGCTTGGTCTATAGAGCAAGTTCCAGGACAGCCTCCAAAACAATACAGAGAAACCCTGTCTCGGAAACCCCCCCCCAAAAAAAAAAAGAAAAAAAAAGATATTTGGATATCTGTATATGTACATAGAAGAGAGGAGTCAGGGATAAATTATTAAATGTAAGAAGATTGAAGAATAGCATATGAAATCTGAACCAAAAAAGTGAGTTGTACTGTAGTGTTTAGGATAGGGTCTTGCTTGTATTGTAGTCTTTGCTAGCTTCAAACTAATCTTGAACCTGCTCTTCTCCTTTTTTGTTCATCCCAGTGATAGGATTACAGATTAGTATCCCCATGCCTGGTTTACAAGTTTTTGTTCATCCCAGTGATAGGATTACAGATTAGTATCCCCATGCCTGGATGGGGATACTTTTAAAAATGAAAACACTTAAAAGTATAATTTTCCTTTTTTACCTCAATTTTAAAATCTGTTTAAGGAGCTACAGTATAGTCAGGTACTGTAACTTTTCATTCAACAATGGTCTTTGTACAAAATGACTTAAGATTATAGAGCCCATATGTGTCATAATATGTCCCATGTAGATTTATACATATGCATTAGACAGTATTAGCACAGTAAGGAACTTACCTAATGACATAGCTCTTAGACTTTATCCCTGTTGCTAAGTCATGTTATACTTAGATTAAGTGACTATACTTTTAGAATTACAGGTAGATATTTTATAATTTTAGAGAAACTTTTAAGGTTTTTTTTTTTTCTAATTATTGTTTGTAGGCATGCCACTAGTTTGTTGAGGCTGTGTAATTGATTCTCTGACACCCTTAAGTGGGATCAAGGGATTAAACTCAGGTTATTAGACTTGCATAGCCAAGAACATTTTATCCACTGAGGCATGTTGTATGTGCTTCCTTTTGGAGACAGTGTCTTGCTGTGTCCTAGGATGGCCTAGAACTCATTATATAGTCCATGCTGACATTGAACTCAGATCTCCTACCGCAGCCTCCCGAGTCCTGGTATTGTAGGTGTGTGCCACCATATCTGGTACCACATATGGTAGACTTTGTTTCTTTTTTGGTTTTTCGAGATAGCATTTCTCTGTGTAGCCTTGGCTGTCCTGGAACTCACTTTGTAGACTAGGCTGTCCTTGAACTTTGACTGAGATCTGCCTGTCTTTGCCTCCCAAGTGCTGGGATTAAAGGCGAGTGCCCCCACCTCCTGGCAATAGACTCTATTTGTGATAGACTTATAAGTAGAAACCATGTGGAGGTGGCTCAGAGGGTAAAGGCACCTCCTGCCAAGTCTGACTGCAGCAATCTCTGGTCAAACATGAATTTAGCTTGGTGTCATAGAAGCTAAGCAGTTGTGTGTCTCTTTTTGAGCATTGTTTTATCAGATGTAGGATGACAGTGTCATCATCATAAAGAAAACTATTCACTGGAGCAGGCAGATAGATACAGAAGCTATTTGTGTTTCTTTAACCAAACACTAGAACTTACTCTTCGACATCATGAGCGACTGGGTTTGACTGTCTTGAGACAGTTCTTTTATGATTTAAAAGCTGTTATTTTGGAATAGCCTTAGTAGGGACATAAGTAGTCTGAGATCTTTAAACATTGGTGTCTGCATCTTTCTTGGTCCATGTGTTTTTGGAATAGTCCTTCAGTAAAATGAAAGCTTAAACCATAAAATGTTTAAAAATAGATAATATATTCTCATGCTTAAAAAGAAGACTGGAGAGATGACTCAGTGAATAAGGGCAGTTGCCATGAAGCCTAGACTCACATGGTAGAAAGATAATGGCTACCACAAGTTGTCCTCTGACTTACACACACACACACACACACACTTTAGAAAAATCATTGTTTATAAGGTTCTATAGTTTATCATATATAAGCAACTAAGTTCCTGTAGAACAGTATAGTTTGTCCACTACTTTATACTTTTTTCAGTGTGTGATTTAAAATAGTTTTTTAGATTTTATTTTTACATTTTATGTGTATGCATGTGTTGCTGGAACATATGTCTATGTATTATATGAGTGCAGTTCCTGCAGAGGCTAAAGAAGATGTTGGATCCTTTGGAACTGAGTTACAGTTGTGAACTACCATGTGGGTTCTGGGAGTCAAACTCCTCTCTTCTGGAAGAGGGCTGAGCCCTCTCTAGCCTATGAGATTAATAATTTGTACCACCTTTTTATTTCTTAGAACTTAATGGCTTCTCTCTCTCTCTTTCTCTCTCTCTCTCTCTCTCTTTTTTTTTTTTTTTTTTTGGTTTTTTGAGACAAGAGTTTCTCTGTGGCTTTGGATGCTGTCCTGGAACTAGCTCTTGTAGACCAGGCTGGTCTCAAACTCACAGAGATCTGCCTGCCTCTGCCTCCCGAGTGCTGGGATTAAAGGCGTGCGTCACCAACATCCAGCTTTTTTTTGGTTTTTCAAGACAGGGGTTTCTCCGTATTGTTTTGGAGGCTGTCCTGGAACTCACTCTGTAGACCAGGCTGTCCTGGAACTAGCTCTTGTAGACCAGGCTGGTCTCAAACTCACAGAGATCTGCCTGCCTCTGCCTCCCGAGTGCTGGGACTAAAGGCGTGCGCCACCAGCGCCTGGCATGGCTTCATTTTTTATATTATAATTACATTTATAGATTGCTGGAGTTTATCTTGATAGGGAATTTCATAAAGACATTAGAAGATTTACATAAATCATATTTCTGATAATTTAATTTAATTATTCTATATCTTCAGAGTTGGATCTGTTTATTCTTACTTTGAAGAAAGGGCACTTTTTTTTTTTTTTTTTTTTTTTTTTTTTTTTTTTTTTTTTTGTTTTTGAGATAGGGTTTCTCTGTGTAGCCCTGGCTGTCCTGGAACTTGCTCTGTAGTCTAGGCTGGCTTTGAACAGAGATCCCCTGTCTCTGCTTCTATAGTGCTGGGATTAAAAGTGTGTGCCACCACATCTGGCAGTTTTTTGTTTGTTTGTTTTTTGTCTTTTTTTTTTTGAGACAGTTTATGCATGTTGTAATTTATTTAAAAACTGTGTGAAGAAAAGTAACACCATGCAACAAGGCTCACATAGGAGTGAGAAGGGGCAGAGAAGGGGGCAGGGACCGGTCCCTGGGGACAAAAGTGGTAGAAGAGAGAGAGAGATGGGCAGGGCCCACCTTTTAAAAGGGAACCATGTGAATTTGCACAGGTGGTGCTCTTAGTGGCTGCAGCTGAGAACATATCCTTTCAGGACCCCAAGGACAGGCCAGTACAGATGCCTGAATACTAATAATGCAGCCCATTTTAGTCTCAAATTCACTATGTAGCCCAAGCTGGCCTTAGACTCCCTATCCTCTTCCGCCGCCTCCTGCTGGGATTACAGGTGTGAGTCTCAGGGACAGATAAGAGCTTCATCTTTTAAGACAAAATCTTGGCAATAAATGAGGCAAATGAATGAATAATGGCTTCCTGTTCATTTTAAGAGATGGTATAGGGGTGCCGGAGAGGCATGGGGTAAATGAAGTAGTTACTTTGTTTTTAAATATCTTATTTAATTCTTTGTTTTGTTTTTCAAGACAGGGTTTCTCTGTATATCCCTTGGCTGTCCTGGAACTCCAACTGTAGACCAGGTTGGCCTTGCACTTGCAGAGATCTACCTGCTTCTGCCTCCCAAAGTGTTGGTATTAAAGGCATGTGTCACCACCACCTAGATAGATAAGGATATTCTCTTTATTCTGTTCTGAACAGGAAGGACTTAAATGTGACAGGAAGGAAGGGTACAAATGTCAGTGCATTAGGACAGCAGTCTGCAGAAGATAGTGAACACAGTCTTCATTCCCTTTCTGTAAGGGTTTTGTGTTGTGCTCATTTTGACTTCTTGTTTCTTTCTTTATGATCCTGTGTAATAGATATTGCTAGTGAATTCAAAGAACAGTTGCAGGCACTGATACCATATGTACTAAACCCATCTAAGTTAATGGAAAAGGAGATCAATGGCTCAAAAGTCACCTGTCGGGGACTGTTGGAATATTTTAAGGTAAATATGAGTTTTAGTTCTAAGCTTAGTGTTTTTTTGTTTGTTTGTTTGTTTGTTTTTAATTGATTTTAATATTAGTAGTTTTCTGGGGGGAGATGGACAGAGGCATTTTACAATCTTAGTGTCCTTCCAGGAGTGGGCCACTGGGTGGCAGTATGGGCATAAGAACCAAATGATGTTCTTTACACTCTCTTAGAGTAGTCATTACTGTGTCTTCAAGGAAGATGGTGTGGACAGGAGGAGGTTAGGAGGTTGCTGTGAATAGGAGACGCACGTAAGTGGGACACAGCTATCTCCAGGTGGATGGTTTCTGCTCAAAGGTTGTGGTGAGACCATTGTGCATGGGACTTGACTTGAATCCTGACCTTGGTAGGCTTGTGCTGCTTTGAGAGTACTTTTAGATAACTAAAAATGCTAACATGCACTCAGAAGTGTGTCATGCTTCTTCTAATTCTTGGTTGTTGGTCTAGGATTTTAGGAAAATAAAGTTGTGTGGTTTCACTATTTAAAAATATGAGCAAAATATTTTGTAATTGTATTTTTGTGATTGCTTCTATGTTTATATTTTAAGGCATATATTAAAATTTACCAAGGAGAAGATCTGCCTCACCCCAAATCCATGCTTCAGGTAATAAAAGTCTTTGGTATCCTAAATGGCATGCTTTAATTGCTGGAATTGACCCAGATAGGACTCAAGTGAGTCCTGAAGACAAGAGCAAGACCACTCTCCTTTCATAGCCTTACCTTGACCTTTTCTTTTCTTTCTTTCTTTCTTTCTTTCTTTCTTTCTTTCTTTCTTTCTTTCTCTTTTTCTTTCTTTCATTATTTCGAGCCAGGATTTCTCTGTGGCTTTGGAGGCTGGCCTGGATCCGCCTGCCTCTGCCTCCCAGCCCTTACATTGACTTTTAAGAGTATTTTGCAGCAAGTGTGGGCGTAGCACGAATTCTAATAGGTCTTAATAATAATAATTTTTTAAAAAAGGCAGAGTCATATATTGATGCTGAGGATCAGAGAAGCGAAACGGTCAGCCATTAGAGTTCTTACCTCTTCCAATGCTCAGATCAAAGGGGCGATCCTGTCCTCAGACGGCTGCCTCAGATTGCCATGAGCTCCTGTCTCCCCTGCCTTATATTCCTCTCTCTGCCCAGACATATCACTCCTGTCTCCACCTCCTTAGTGCGGGGTTTAAAGATGGATCACTCCAAGTGCTGAGATCACCTTTGTGTGAGCTCTGTTTCTCTTTTAGACATATTCAGTCTTGTGTAGCCCATGGTGACCTTGCACTCATAGGAATCTGTGTCCCTCTGTCTCTAGAGTGCTGGGATTAAAGGTGTGTGCCACCACTGCCTGGCCTCTATGATTAACTAGTGTAGCTAGTTTTGACTCTGATCTTCGGGCAAGCTTTATTTGTTAGGTCATGAATGTTGCAGTGGCTACCCTCTGTTTTGTCTGTGTTCTCTATAAGGCAGTTAATGCAGTTGGGGCTGCTCTCCTTTCATGGCACACTTGGAAAAACTGCTGTTATACCCAGCTGAAGCATAGTCCCTGTGTTAGACAAGCCACTTCCATTCATTGATTACTTTGGTAGAACTTCTGGCTCTTATCCTTAGGATTCTCTGGTCATTTGGTTAAAACAGCTTCTCACTTTCATATGCTAAACATGTGGGTATTTATTGCTAAATACTGGTTTCTTTTTTTTTTTAAGTGAGAAGTTTTATTAGAAAAGGAAGGGGGGGGGTAGAGACACAGAGACAGAGAGAGGACAGAAATAGGGAGACAGGAAAAGTCCTGTTTGCCCCAGGAAACAGAAGAAAAAAGAGTGGGAAAGAGAGTGTCAAATACTGGTTTCTTTAGTAGCAAAATATTTTCACAAAAACTCTGGACCTTGTGATTGATAGTATAATGAAATTTTTCCTTCCTTCCTTCCTTCCTTCCTTCCTTCCTTCCTTCTTTTTTTGTTTTTTTTTTTTTTTTTTTTTTTTTTTTTTTGGTTTTTCTTTGTTTTGAGGCACTGGGATTAAACCCAGGTGCCTTACACCTTATAGGTTAGATAAGTGCCCTACCACTGAACTTCATCTCCAGTGTGCAACTGTTACAGTTGAAATTGAAGTAAAGGAAATTATATTTTCTTGAGTTTGGGGGGTTTGGTTTATGCTAAAGATTCCTAATTCTGGCACAAAAATTGGCAGAAGTATGTATTTTATTAGTTGAGTTATATGGAAATGTAAATAATAACAGGTTAATAAAAAGGAAGAATGACAATAGGAAGAGAGATAATTTTGCTTGGTTTCTGGGGAAATGTTTCAAGAATTATTTATAGTTCATACTTTCTTTTTTAAAAGGCCACTGCTGAAGCCAACAATTTGGCAGCTGCAGCCTCTGCCAAAGATATTTATTACAGCAACATGGAGGAGGTATGTTTGTAACACCTTTTTTCTGGAGTGTCTATTTCCTGAGCATGACTGTTGATTTCAGAGGACCAAACTGTATCCTATTCAATGTATACTTTTTTGTTTGAGACAGGGTTTTATGTAATAGGCTGACCTGCAAATCACTGTGTACTGGGGGGAGGGCTTTAATGTCTGATTGTACTGCCTTTAGCAGTACTAAGGCTGTGACACAAGAAAGTGCTTTAAAGATTTGTTTTCACTTAAGAATCTTGTGAGTGTATGCCACATATATGTGGGTATTCTCGGAGGCCAGAAGAGGATGTTGGATCCTCTGAAGCTAATGTTTAGGTGGTTGTGAGTGACTTAGCATGAGTGTTGGAAATGTGACCTTGTTATCTGGAAAAGCTGAAAGCCCTCTTTTTAACTACTTAGCTGTCTGTCCAGTCCCCGCTCAATGTGTCTTAAGATGATGAGACACAAAGCTGTTTTTCAGGTCACCCTGGTAATTGGGATGTTCTAATTACTATCTTTTTTTTTAAATTTAATTTTTCTTTTCTTTGAAACAGAGTCTTTCTCTATAATTGGGATCTTCTAGTTATTTTTGTTTTTCTGAGACAGGATGTTGATATGTAGTCCAGGTTGGTCTCAAACTCATGACAAGTCTCCTGAGTCTTAGATGCAAATGTGTGCTACTATGTCTGTTATTTGTCTTTTAAGATTTATTACTTATTTATGTGTATATATGTACCTGTAGGTACCTAAAGTAGGCCAGAGATAGGCATTAGATCCCCTGGAGCTCTAGTTACAGGAGGTTGTGAGTTTCCTGATGTGGGTGCTGGGAACTGAACTCTGATCATATACAGGAACAGCAAGTGTTCTTAACTACTGAGCCATGTCTTCAGCCTCCCAGTGTCTGGTTATTAACCATTTCCAACCAAGCTTTCTCAAGAATATCTTTGTTCTTTTTGATTAGTGTTAACTTTTTAAAAAATTTAACATTAGTTACTATAGTTTTATTCAAGGATTTGCTATGTAGCACTGGTAGACCTGGAATTTGTTATAGTCCATCTCTACCTCACACTTAATGGATCTCTTGCCTCTGCCTCCTCAGTGCTGGGATTATAGGTATATACTAGTATGTCTGGCTTTGGCCTTGGGTATTTGTCTTTTCTGAAAAATTTAAAAATCTTACATGCATTGGTATTTTTGCCTGCATGTGTGTGTGTGTGAGAATGTTGGGTCCCCTGGAACTGGAGTTACAGACAGTTGTGAGCTGCCATGTGGGTGATGGGAATTGAACCCAGGTCCTATGGAAGAGCAGTCAGTTCTCTTAACTGCTGAGCATCTCTCCAGTCCCTTTTCTGACTTTTGGGTCTTTCGAAGTCAGGGTTTCTCTGTGTAGCCCTGGCTGTCCTGGAGCTCACTTTGTAGACTAGGCTGGCTAGCCTTGAACTCACAGAGATCCACATGCCTCTGCCTCCTGAGTAATGGGATTAAAGGTATGTACCACCACTGCCTGGCTTTTTCTGACTTATTATTGAAGCAGAATCTCATGTAGCCTAGGTGGGCCTCAAACTCTAGGTAGCTGAAGATGACACTGAACTTTCTTTTCCTCTTGTAACCACGTCTGGAGTGCTGGAATTATACGTGTGCAACACCATACTTAAGTTATATGGTATTGAGATTGAACTCAGGGCTCTGTGCTTACTAGGCAAGTACTTTATCATATATGTTACACCCTCAGTCTCCCTTGAATATTTTCTGAAGTTAACTTGTAAACTTCAGCATTCTAATCTTTACTGTGTCCTTTTACTTGTTTAATTTGGCATGTGTTTTTGTAATTTTTAGTTTTGGGTAGGAGAGAAACCTTATTTGTCTCCAGATATTTTAGAAGAGAAGCACCAAGAATTCAAACAGGTCGCTCTGGATCACTTTAAGAAGACCAAAAAGATGGGTGGGAAGGATTTCAGCTTCCGTTACCAGCAAGAGCTGGAGGAGGAAATAAAGGAACTGTTTGAGAACTTCTGCAAGCACAATGGCAGCAAGAATGTCTTCAGTACCTTCCGAACCCCTGCAGTTCTGTTCACAGGCATAGCAGCATTGTACATAGCTTCAGGCTTCACTGGCTTCATTGGGCTTGAGGTTGTAGCCCAGCTGTTCAACTGTATGGTTGGACTGCTGTTAATAGCACTCCTTACCTGGGGGTACATCAGGTATTCTGGTCAGTATCGTGAGCTGGGTGGAGCTATTGACTATGGTGCAGCATATGTATTAGAGCAGGTGAGTGGTGCTCACTGTGGTTTTTTTTGAGACAGGGTTTCTCTGTGTAGCTTTGGAGCCTATCCTGGCACTCGCTCTGGAGACCAGGCTGGCCTCGAACTCACAGATCCGCCTGCCTCTGCCTCCCGAGTGCTGGGATTAAAGGCGTGCGCCACCAATGCCCAGTGAAACTGGGGTTCTTTATATCATCTTCATATATTCTATCATTTATGTCTCCAAAATGCAAACGGTGTTTGAGATTGACATAATCTCTAGGTTTTTTTTTTTAAGAGTTTTTTATTCTAAAGTTTATTTAAATTTGTTACTCTTGTGTCTATTGTTGTATATGATATGTGAATGTGAGTGTATGAGATCCAGAGCACAGGCTGTGGAGGTCCGAGGACATCTTTGTGGAATCATTTTTTGCCATTCACCTTTATGTGGGTTTGGGGAATTGAACTCAGGTCGTTAGAGTTGAGCAGCAAGTATTTTTTTACCTGGTAAACCATCTTGCTAGCCCATTTTGGGTTTTTTGTTTGTTTGGGATAGTGTCATGTTGCCTAGGCTGGTTTCAGACTTCATAATGTAGAAGGGGATGAACTTGAACTCTTGAACTCCTGGTTCTGCTGCCTTTAAAGTGCTCTTAATGTGATACAAGCATATCCTATATGCTACACCTGGCTGAGCTCCAGTTTTCATAAATTATTTTTTGAGACCTGGTCTTTCTATAGTCTAGGCTAGCCTGGGACTCACTGTGTAATGCAGAATGGCCTGAAACATATAATCCTACCCCAGCCTCCTGAGTGCTGAGATTGTAGGCAGGCACCATGGCAACTGGTCATTTTGTATGTTTTTAAGACAAGTTTGTTTCTTTTTCTGTGGCATAAACAGATCAGTTAGGTCAATAGTGTGAAGCCAAGGGAGCCTCTACCTCCTCAGCAGGGGAGCAGATGCTCCACTGACTCTAGGAGTTACTTTGGCCATAGTTTTCTTTCAACACTGTGGTCTCACTCAGTGTTGATAAGGAAAGATATTTAGAAGTTATCACTTAGGACTTAGGTTTTTTTTTTTTTTTTTGCTGTGTTGTAGTTTATTAACTAATACATTAACTAAATGGACTTTTGCAGGCTTCTTCTCATATTGGCAATTCTACTCAGACTGCAGTGAGGGATACCATCGTTGGGAGACCACCTACAGATAAAAAAGCTCAATAACATCTTAATGGCAAGATCAACAAGAGCCCAGTCAGTCCAGGATTTCTGCTAATGCCATCATGAGTCCAGTTCCAGAGGAATGGCAGATCTGAGACTGCCCTGGAAGTGCTGAGACGGGGCACTGTAATAAATGAACTGACCTCTCCTATGGTTTCCAATTCCACTTGTCTTGGAAGCAGTTCTTTTTGTTGCTGTTATAGACCCAAGGCTATAGACCCTCTTCTCTGCTTTGTGCACTTTAAGGGGTGGGGGGTGGGGGCTAAAAGGAAAACATAGAAATGCAGCTTTTAAGTCTTTGATGTGCCACATAGTGCCTTTTAAGACCAGTCCATGCCTCTGCAGCCATGAATGCTGAGGAATGGAGGACAACCTCATGAAATGCAGTTTTGGATCAAGTTTTCTTTTGGATTTTGGATTTTAGTTCTTTTGTACCTTTGAAAATTTGTTTTTCAAAAGTTTACACAACTTGAAAAAGGCACAGAACTAAAGGCCCACTGACATGATATACTTAAACAATTTCCCCCAGTATTGGTGATTGAACCTAGCACCTGGCATGCTAGGTGATTTCTCTGCCCTGGAGCTATCCCTTAGCCTGCTTGCCTGGAGTCTCAGGTCTTGAAATAAATCTGTCCCTAGGTTGGCTGTGAGTGTTCCATCTTCTTCGTCCCTCCCTAGCCTCTTGAGTAGCTTGAATACAGACCTGTGCTACCATCCTTGCTTCAAAAATCTTATTTATATGAATTATCTTTGCTATGCAGAATGGAAAAAATAGATCATTTAATACTTTGTGTTGGAGAGTATAAAGGTGTTTTACATAGTAGGCTGTCAGTTTTGTTGAACTTGCTTTTTAAAATTTTTACTCCTATAGTTTCTTTCTAGAAAAGAGGCAAATGGTCCTTAAAAAGCTAGGGCTTCATAATAAAAGGAATGAGCTAGACACTTCATGGTAAAATTGTGGTCTGAGTGAACCTCTGATAAGTCACTTGAACTTGTGTCTTGGTCAGATTCACTATATGTTTATGTATATATATGTCACTCTCAAAAATAGTCATTGTCAATAGAGAAAGACATTACCAAATATTACTCCTTTTAATGTTCAGTTTCATGTTGCTTAGTGATAATACCACTAGTAATCTGATCTAAAGTCTTTACTCAAACTTTTTTTTTGTGGGGGCAGTGGTGTCGATGTCTCACTGTTGCCCTGGCTGGCCTGTAACCTTTGATATAGAGGAGGCTAGCCTTGAACTCATAGAGATCCTGTGCCTTTGTGCCTGGCCCCAAACTGCTTTTTATTCTATGTACTGTCTAATGCTTATAATATCAAAGCTAAACTGCTAATTTTATCTAGTTAACTTTCCTTTTTTCCCCCTTGATGAAGGAAGGGCATTCAGTCGAGCTACTATTTAAAATTCTCTCTTGATTTTCCTTTTGGTTAGACTGGCAGTTTTAAAATAACAGACTTAATGAAGGACAGTTGCTCTGACTCTAAAATTTTCTTTTTTACATTTACCTTGATTATATTTTTAGTTTTATATATTAGTTGTTTCTTTTCCCTTTGACTTTATAATAATGAATTATTGTGGACTTAAACCTTAACGCATGCCTGCAGGTATAGAAACCTTAATTTTTTTTTAGGTAATTTGAAATTTTGTTGTGGGAAGGAGATAGAATGGTTTTGGCAAAACCTAGTGTAAATTTTATGTACATGAAGTATGAATGGAAGGTAGACAAAAAGTCTTATATTTAATTTCCTTATCAGAAATTTCTTCTAAGTTTTCCAATCAAGCATTTAACAAATCCTGAATTAATATTGAGCATTTTATATATTTTCATACCAGCTTGCCCTGAAACTTATAGTAATTTTTCCTTTTGCTCTGCTGTCTGGGAACAATTCCAGCTTGTTTTTAAAACTGTTCACTGCTTGTGAGTGATGGCTGACCATGTAAGGGTTGGAAGCTCAGTCCTGAAGTTGTGCAGAGTTTTCAGGTAATGTCTCCTGTCTGGAAGCTTGTACTTCGTGATGGGCTTCTGATACTGAGATCAGAGAGGGTTTTGTTAGGTAGTCCAGGTTGGCCTATAACTTGCTTTGTAGTTTAGACTGGCCTTCAACTTGAGGTTCTACTGCCTCAGCCTCCTTGAGTGCTGAGCTTGTAGGTGTGTGTCCCCATGCCCATCTCTGTTTTTTTTTTTTTTTTTTTTTTTTTTTTGAGACAGGGTTTTTCTGTGTAGCTTTGTAGCCCAGGCTGGCCTGGAACTCACAGAGATCCGCCTGACTCTGCCTCCTGGCGCTGGGATTAAAAGTGTGTGCCACCGATGTCTGGCTCTGGCTCTACTTTTATGGTAAAAAAAGATGATGTGGGAAAGATTTGTAATACTTTTAGTATTACATCTGTGTATGTGTTTAAAATGAAGGTTCTATTAACTTATTCTGCTTCTGGAACATATTTATAAAGTTTTCTTTGAGGGTTCTTGGAAGTTTTTCTTGGCCTCTTTTCTAACTTTAATTGTTGATTTTTCTATCACAATTTTTCAATACAAAATGCCTTTAATGATTGACTAGAAATAGTTTTGAGGAGATTTATAAGTGGTTGAAAGAATCTATTAGCACCTCCTCCTGCCTTTTCTTTGTGGGTCAGGGACATGTCGTAGGAGTCAGACCAGTGTCTTCACAGGCTTTCTGTGTAGGCGTTGCTAATTTGCACACTCCAGTCAGTGTGTGGGGCACATTCCTATGAACATAATGGAGATTTCCAAAGCATTCCATTGGCAATAACTCACTTCAGGAGAAGCTAAATGTTGCCAAGATATTGATTTTGTTTTGGGGTGCTAGGGATGGAACCCAAGGTCTGAGTGTATGGCAGGTGTTTGTTCTGTCTACCAAGTTAAACACTTTAGTTTGCCTCTTAACATCAAATGGATAGATCACAGCTTTATTTGCTGAGAAGTCTCTCTCGTGACTTAACACTTACTGATAAATTTCACACATCCCTTTTGAAGAGTACCAAAAATCTCTTTCATGGATGCTTGTGACTTTATTTTTTTTCTTCTTCTTCCCTCCCCTGACCCCCCCTTCTCTCTTCCTTTTTCTGTGCAGCTTCAGCCAGAGGTTTATGTTTGATACTTGTTTATACTAGGTCAAGTTGCTGTTACACTTTGTGTTTGTTTTTGCTTTCTCTCTCACAAGCACACAGGCACAAGCACTGTGTTTTCAGTTTCTTTAGGAGGTCACATACAGTGGTGTCTGGGTATGTGAATGAGGAAAAAAGAAAAAGGAAAAAAAATTTCCAGAAAGTGACATGAAAGTATCGAAAGATCTATTTTGTTCGTGTCGGTTTTTGTTTTGTTTTTTTTTAAATGTAATTGAGTATGATTTGATTTTTCTATCAAGTGATCAGCATCTCTGCATCCTTTTACCTAGCATGTGGAGCCAATACAATTTCTGAGTATTCCATGTCCCATGTGGCCTGTTGTTGTGGGTTAGTTGTTTTCCTCAGGGGCTGTACTGTAGCTCAATCTTGGATGCTGGCTCTCATCTACCTTTTCGTGCTTTAGACTAATCTGTGGGGTATGTTGAAAGAAAATCAGATTCTGCTTTGTATCTAGAGATTGCTGCAGCGGTTTTGCAATGGGGCTCTGAGATCATCTTTTAAAGACATCAATAGGTGATTGGCGGGCAGGGGTGGGGATGAATGAGTTAGAATGAACTGATCACAGAATGGGAGTACCCAGACAGGAAGTGCACTTGAGCATTTTGAGCAGCTTTGCCTGAGGTCTACTGCCAGGTCTGCTCACTTCGAAATTTGCTATGTTTAGAATCATCAGGGTGCCTTAATTTAGAAGATTGTCCAAGCTTTTTAAAGCTGTCATAGTGCCTTCTCTTATATACCTGCCCTTACACACGGACAGGTAATTAGGATTTTTTTTTTTTTAATAAATGTTGATAGTATCTCCTCTCATACTCTGAAAAAGCCAAACTAGGCACTGTGATTTGAATCCTTAAATTTTTGTTGTTGCCATTGTTTTGAGAAAGGGTCTGAGCATGTAACCCAGACTGCTCTGAAACTCTATTCTATAGATCAGGTTGGCCTTGAGCTCACCGAGATCAGTCTGTCTCCTTTCAGATCCTGAGGTCTTTTAAATACAGAAAACCCTGAAGTACTAATACCAGTAATGAACAAAGAGTATGGGATCTTAACTATGAACATAGTCACCTATGCACCCACAGCAGGAGCATCCCAAGCTAGCTCTTCTCAACAGAAAGGTTCCTATGAGAAAGAATCTCATGTGCCAGAGTCAAAGTTCAGTGTTACAACCAAAGGAAGGTCACATTGATGCTTCAACATCTTTAGTTCAGGTGATCAAAGTTGTTATGGATGTAAACCTTAAAGGAGTTTAATCTTTGAACATACACAAGTTGTCCTCAGTTTTATTTTAAAAATGATTTGTTCTATTTTCTGCTAGATCCTTGCCTTTGAATGGCTTTAAAACTATATATATATTTTAAGTGCAATGGGAAGCAATGATGCTATTCTGTGCTAAAGGCTCATTTCTGTTTCCTTTATGGGTTGTATATTCATTTAATGGATTAAAGATCACAATACCAATGTTTCCTGTGTTTGTTGTTACTATTCTTTCTTGTGGAAAACCTATGGGACAGAGTGGGACTTGGCAAGGGGAGTTGGTGACCTGGTAAGTAGGGGCAATGGCAATTCAGCTCATTGAGCCCTCCATAGTGAGCTGGAAAGGCTGTTTTCTAGCTGCTTCAAAGTTAGCAGTGTGTGATCTTGAGATTCTACTGACTTCTAGTGGGCTGCTGGGAGCCAGAGCCAACTGTAGTTAAATAGAATCTCACAGTAGTGGGGTGGATAGAGGGGAGAGCTGTGCCGAAAGATCTCTCTGCTGTGACCTGGGAAGAAGTGGGGAAGTAGTACTGAGTTTCTTCAGTCCTGAGAAAGGTTTGTGGTGGTCACTATGAAGTCTTGGCTGGTCTAGAGCTCACTAGGTAGTTCAGGCTGGCTTTGAACTCACAGAGATCCACCAGCCTCTGCCTTAAGAGTGCTGGCATAAGAGTATGCTGCTACACTGGGCTTTCTCTCTCTCCCTCTCCCCTTACATGATAAAATATTAACCACTTAATATTCAAAATTAGATAAATTATTTTCCTCCAAAGCTCTTATTTCTACCTTATTGCAAACATTCCCTGTTAGGGTTATTTCCACACAGTTAACAGGTAATGGTCCTGCCTTTACTAGAATTTTAAGAAATTCTGTGAAGAATGGCAAATTGTATAACCCCCCCCCCCAAAGCAACTTTTAGGCCAGCCATTGGTGTGCATACTTGTAATCCCAGCACTCAGGAGGCAGAGTGAGTTTAAGACCAGCCTGGCCTACAGATTAGGTTCCAGGACAGCAGGACTACACAGAGAAACCCTGTCTTGAAAAACAAAACAAAGCCAGTTTTTAAAAAATAAGGGTCTGAGGGAGCCATTCTCTAAGATACTCTTATTACCTTATTTACTTTATAGTTGTTCAATTTAAAAAAAAAAACAGAAAACCCTTTGATGTGATTGGAACGTTACTAGTTACTGTATAACCCTGCTTGATTTAATCAGCCTTTATAACTGGACCATGATCAAGTATCATAAGGTATGCATGGGAATTTGCCTCAATATTGCTGCCCTATAGGATGAAACCTTCCAGATGTTCTCTAAACAATTGCCTGGAATTTTGGGACAAGGAATACTAGAAGGGATTGTCGATTCCTTACAAGGTATGTAGGTCCTTGTTCCTGGTGGCAAGGCATGCATAATGCTTTTGCATCCAATGTTGTACTTGTCATGTCTTTACACTTCTATTAGGCTGTCAGTTGCTCCAAACAATAAATGCACGAAGACTCTCTGCACTGCCTGCTCTTGCTTTTTGTTTTTGTTTTTGTTTTTTTGTTTTTTTTTTTTTAAAGGGAGATGTCAGAACACAGTCAAAAGGTTGATGCATGGTGAACAATGTCTAGGGGAACTGAGAGGCTCCAGGAAAAAAGACAGAGGGCCTTTTACTTTAAATGCATTTTGTTCCCTGGATTGTTCTCAAACATGAATTTGTACCTCTTGTGACAAACATTTGCAATCAATTTATAAGACATGTTTATTCTTTTTTTTTTTTTTTGACGTGTTTATTCTTGCTGGACGTCAGAACATAGCTATAGAACCCAGTTTGGTGAAAGGATGATCTGAGTGCTGTCCTCAGTGCACCCTGAATCTGGATGTGGCCTTCTGCCCCGGCCTGCGGGGCTCCGGTAATTTGTGAGTCTGAGGTGGATCAAGCCTGAAAATAATGGGTGGAAAAGAGAAGTGAGACCAAGCAGGGTTTTTCTTTGTCAAGGTCTGAACTTTATTGAAACCAAGGGGCTTTTAAAGAAAAAGGGGGAAGCAGAGAAAGAGGAGGTGGGGAGAGGAATGAATGTTAATTGCTTCTCAGGCCAGGTCCTGGAACCTAAGGGGTGGGATGCTAGACTAACTGGCGGCTAGCTGAGCAATGGGGGTCGCCAGGCTTGTGTAAATAAGGACTTTGGATCTAACCAAGGCTGGCTCCTGACAGCCTTCTGCCTTGCTTTCCCGGATATAATCTATAGAAGATGTCAGACAATTTTTTAAAAAGATTTTATTTATAAAACATCCTGCCTCTGTGTATGCCTGCACAACAGAAGAGGGCTCCAGATTTCATTCCGGATGGCTGCGAGTCACCATGTGGTTGCTGGGAATTGAACTCAGCATTATGTGGAAGAGCAGCCAGTGCTCTTAAACTCTGAGCCATCTCTCCAGCCCCCCAGACAATTGTTTTTTAATTGTTCTGTCCTGAGAAAGTTCTAGGAAAGGGCTACTCTGCTAATATTTAGTATGTGCTTACTAGCGTTTATATTTACATGGTTTTCTGAACTCAGACAACCTCCCTTGGATCATTGCTTTCTTTGTTACATTCATGTATTAAGTACACTGGACCTGAAGTAAAGCTGTCTGCAGCATTAGACTGTAGTCCTCCCCATCAAGGTCCTCAATCCCAGATTTCAAAGACAGATCTGCATGGGTTGACAAAGGTCAACAGTTGCCCAGGTTGGCCTCAAACTCACTAGGTATCTAAGGATAAGCTTGATTTTGCTTCCACCTGCCTTGTCTGGGATTATAGGACTGAGTTGTGCCACGCCAGATTCATGTAGTGCTGGGAATGCATTCAGAACATCAGACATTCTAGAAATGTACTCTTGTAACAGGGCAAGACCCTACAGAGATTCCTCCATCTTAAATTTTTACTGAGTCCATTTTGTTTAGCTAGAATTTGTACTTTTTGGAGAATCCATGAAAAATAACCCAACTTTATTCTAGGAACCTGAGGTCAAAATGACCCTGCTAACTTAGCTTCTGGTAAATCACCTACTTGTGAAAGACCCCTGCCCCTTAGCCCTTTCTTTCTCAAGTTTGTCTCCTCTTCCTCCTGT